CGGATGTGTGTGCCAATGGGCATATTATCTTATGTGATATCTTTTCTTTCTCAGTGTGTTCTTATACAATCAATGATACGTAGTGTTCATACTCGCGTTACTTTTATGTTCATCTATGCATGATTGAGCCTTATTCTCTTACTGTTGTAATGTGCTTCTCATTCTATCTCATCATTCACTCGTATATTATATGTATTGTTCTCACCTATCTATTCTTACGCTATGTTCTTCCTCTATTGTTCTTCTATATGTGTTCTCTCCTTGGCCTCATCACCTCTTGATTCTTACATTGTTCTCGTCTTGGCCTCATCTTCTTTCTTTTCATCCTTTCTTATTCTACTTGTGTATATAAGCGTGTGCTTTATATGTAAACGGTACGATTGTATGATATGAGGGAATAGAATAAAGTGTATCATCAATCACACTAACATCCCTTGTATCATTGATCGTCACAAGGCGATTATATGATATGAAGGAATAGAATGAAGTGTAACTTCATCGATGCTAACATCCTTTGTATCATTTTTCGTCACGATGAAGTCTTCATAATAGAAATTCGTATATTTGTCCTGCGTCTGTTTGATCGACCAAGATCTAGTAGAAATCGAGTTTTTCGAAAAATTGCTTCTCATATAGAACTGTTGAAAAGAAGATTAGAGATATTGAACATTAAACTTTACTTCTTATGTGATAAGAAAATAAGTTCAATCTTATCATCGAACTTTAAACCACAATCAAAATCAATTGTTTACCAAATAGATTGTCAATGTGGAGCAGTTTATAATGGTGAAATCAGAGTCAGATTGATCAATGGAATGAAACAACATGATAAAGTAATATAAAAAGACAAAGAACAAAATAACTCTGAAATTGTACAACATCATCACAAAACAAAATAACAATGTATGTTTGATCCAATGAAAGGCTATCCAATTGACAATGAAATTAATTTCCAAAAAAGAAAAATTAAAGAATCAATAGACTCCTTTATTAATTCATCAATCAATCAATCAATCAACAGATACGACGGAATAGACAATACTTAGAATAGTATATTACTCAAACAACGTGAGAAGATCAAAAATAGAATACACTTTAAGCATAATAAATACGCTACAGCACAGACAAAAAACAACTTGAAAGATTAATAAACAACGATGAGTAGGACAAGGCGGTAAAACTGATATGGATAAAGAAAAGAAAAAGAAAAAGTACTCCAGTTTTTACTATCTCGTCCGTACCATTATTATAATACATATAGATAGAAGAAAAGTAAGAATAAAAGAATGGTAGATTTGACAATTGTATTAATCATCCTTGTGCTTGTACATTTTGTCATAAGTATACATATTTTCTGGAGAAGATCAATTTAATTGATCCCAACGTTAAATAATAATATTTCTAAATCAAGAACAAAATGAAGAGGGTCTTTTTACGCGAACGATGTCTACAACGTTCCTTCATCGTAAAGAATAGGTCTCGCGATTGAAGAAAAACGAAAATATTGTCAATATGATGGTAGTACAATGATATTGACTTCGATAACACACATGGAGAAAGAAAATCGTTAACCAGTACCTCTGAAGCAGTTATGCATGATTGCTCTAAAGAGAGGGAGAGAGCACACGTGCTGTTTGTTTATGTAATGTAAAATTAACGTGTTCTCATTTAGAAGAAAAAACATGAGCAAACTATCTTGATTTCGATGAATTACCAGGCCTGGTACATGAAAGAGAAATTATGTTGATTATGTTTCTGTTTACACGGTTCGAAATGCGAAAAACCCGCGACTGACTGATAAAATAATGATTGTAGAATGTTAGGTTGATAATTTTAATGCAAAAGGAATGGTTGTCTTCTGTTGTGATGGTTTTCAATGGTCATTCCGCAGCAAAATATCATCAATAAACTGGTAGAAAGAAGGCAGAGCATAGTTCGAGCAATGGCAAGAAAACTTGCTCCACTCATCAAACAAAACTACGATTTCAATCTATTACGCAACGCTTTTGTATAGTTTGTCTACTTCAAAAACTTATTACAAGTAAAACAACCGCTTGAGAAACGAGTAAGTCCATGTCTCATCTCTAACACATTCGATTGATTTAACAGAGAAGAAGAGCCTTCTCAATATATATCAATCATTTTTCCCACAAGAATGTGTCTTCGATGTCTGAATTAAAATAAGAGACCATTCTATTGAATATCAATATGTCGTAGGATGGCTACTATGTTTAGTGTATCATACATCCAATATTTCCTATTGCATCCACTCGTAACTGGATACAAAATAAAGTGCGCCTCATAGCTCGTTCTCTTTTTTGTTCCGAATGAGAGACCAAAAAAAATGTTTTTTTTTTCTTCTCTTAGGCTGCCGAATCTTGTCGCTGCTTCACTACTAGAGTAAGATAAGAACAGAGGTGATGATTTTTCTCTCTTGCAACTACGCTACTGTTTCGCTTGAATTGACATAGCCATTTGTCGTATAAAAGCGAACGTCTCTCGTACTGTATTTTCACTTTCGATTTCATTTCGCGTAAGTAAGTAGTTAGTATCGATCACAAGGAAAAATTGCGTACTGAAACTAAATCTTCAGACCTTTTCATCCAAGCAGTCAGAAGTTATGAGGCAAACATCGCTAAGAAACATAATCCAGACTCAAAAAATAGCTGAATTTAGTTCGTGCTGCCGTGCTCCTCCAAATATTTGTTGGATGTTATTCAGAGTATATTCTTTTCGATAAAGTAAGCTTGCTTTACAATATAAATAGATCACAACTTGCAGCGCTTTTAATACGGAGGCAAACAGGGTCACAATGAATTTTAATTATGTATCAGATAGATCAGTCAAAAAACAAATAACAGAAGAAGAGAAAAGAAATATTTCAATTCTTGCTTTTATAAATAGTATCGAGTGTCGTATATATATCATCAAAATTATATAAGATTTTAATAAAATTACAAATTATTTTTGGATTTTATTGGTTAATTGTCATTTTTGCATACATTAATAGAGTTCAATCATGTCGGGAACAAAAGACTGGCCAGACCTGGTAGGAAAAACATTCGAAGAAGCGTCCGAAACTATTCTAGCATATGATAGTAGTAAGCATGATCAATAATTAATAATCTTCTTCTTGCTAAAATTTTTTTTTCTTATTTTTTCCATCATAGAATTACATCCATATAATGCAAGAAATGGTGTGGAAAATTATATGTTCGATCCAGCACGTGTTTCGTGCGTTACGAATAATAATAATATTGTAACCGAAGTTCCGCGTTATACTTATCCACAATGACTTGAATATTTTATTATTATTTCATGCTTGGTGACAGGATAGTATGATACCTATTACATGCAGTATTAACACTTAGAAAAGTTTTCATGATACTAACCCTAAACTAATACATTGCTTCGAAATATATTTTAGTTATAATAAACGTTTTTTTTAAGTAGTGAATAATAATTATAAATAATGAACTTAAGAGAAAGGAACAGGAAAAACTCATCTGTCGGACTTGTACCAAAAGCATGAAATGGTCTCACAGGGCTGTAAGGCAGAGGATGTAGGTATTAGTTTTAGTTCTAGTCTACTATCGAGCTACAATCGCATTCACATTCATGCCATCTAGTTAGGTTTATGTTTACACTCAACTGTATGTGATTTTCTTGTAACATCATCATTTGATGAAAGTGTTAAAGTATGGCATATTGAAAGTGAAAATATAACATTTCTTACTGACCGACAATTTCAAACAGTAATTTAGAATTTGTTATATTATTGAAAATAATTATTAATAATAGGACCGAACCAATACATGTCTTGCTAATTTTGATTTTCCATTTCGATTTGCTCTTGATGGACAATCGAAAGGTGTACAAATATGGAAATATTTTGTGAATATTTTCATAAGATTTTTTGAAATTACAATTTTGCAACAGTCAATCTTTTCAGGATTTTAATGGTGTCATTGAACGTTCAGGCTAGAAAGAAATTTACATAAAAGGTTTTGTAAAATTAATATAGAATATTTTTAATTACGACCGATTTATCCAATTTTCTCACAAAATTAAACATTAGATTTCATAGATCTAATCACATTCAGTAAATCATTAGTCATCCAACTGCTTTTATGGAAAAAATCTTTCTATGCCATCAGCTTTAGTTGTGCTAGTCGGATGGGAACTAATTAGAAAAGAGCTTTGGTAGAAAAAGTTTGTCAACTTTCTCCTGAAGCGGTAGAAATTCGGAGCGTTTGCTAAGAATGTCTAGTGAGGATTGTATCAGTGATTTTAACTTTTTGACTTTATATTTCACCAATAAATAGAAAGCATCTAAACTCGTACAATCTTCAAAGGATTCTTCTTTTTATTGGAATTCGATTGAGATATGAATGCTTTAAAACACCGAATTTTTATAAAATTATAAAAACATAGAAAATTCCTCTGTTTTGAAACATTCATATCTCGATCAAATGTCAATAACAAAAAGAATTCTTTGAGAGTTATACAAGTCTAGATGTTTTGTACTTATGAGCAAAATATGAGCTCAAAAGCTTGAAACCACTGATGGAACTTTCTTTAGACGTTCCTAGGAAATGTTTCAAATCTTTACCATTTCAAGCAACATTCGGCGAATTTTTTTTGGTCAAAGCTGTCTATAGAAAATTGGTTGGATACCCATAGTTTAATTTCATATGATCTCTGGAACCTTCCAATCTTCTGTTTCTTTCTTGATCCTTTATCTAATATTTATAGCTTTTTCATATAGAGCTTAATGACAAAACGTTTTGTAAAGTTAATAGATCAAATTCTTTAGGCAATAATATGATGTCGCATACCTTCATATACGGTAAATTTATTACTTTCTTTTCTCTTAGCAGTTCGTTCACGATTTCATTCTCGTGCAAAATTCGAAATGATCGAAGTAGCTAATAAAACAGCATTATCTACAGCATCAGTTTCATCTTTTCCAACAACAGCTCTGACTGTAACATCAGCTATATTAAAAGCTCAACGAAACAAATTATTTAAAAAAAAGAAATAAAAACTTCAAACATCCGATGAATTGAAAACTTTAATAGGTGCTATTATTCACTTCGATGATTCACCTTAAACATCACGTCAACGTGTTGACGTGTCAGAAATGTTATTGCGCAATCAAAACAAAAATCTTCAGTATAAATGACAGAGAAAAAAAGCGTTTTTTTTTAAAGAAATAAACATGAATCGATTATTCTCCTGGTTTCATAATAAAAATAATTCACCATCATCAACAATATCTCGTCAGGATTTTATTGAATCATTAATTGTTTATAAACAGATTAAAGAATTTTCATCATGTTTACACAAAAAAGATGATCAAACATTATGCATCGATGGATTTTTTCGATTATTACCGACAATACTTGATGAAAATTATATGTCGAATTTATGTGAACTAATTTCTAAAAAATCACGATTAACAGCTAATGAATTATCAAAAATAATTACCAATAAACTTTCACGTACAATTCTTGATAAAAATTTTGATCTATGTGAAAAAATTCTACGTTTACCATTTCAATCTTTAAAAATTTCTTTAGCAACTTATGAACTTATTCAATTGATTCATACATGTTCAAATACGAATCAATTAATTCAATGCTTATCAATTTTAATTGAAAAAAATCTTCCCTATGATTCCGAATATCTTTCATGGATATTAATAATTCTTTTTGAACATTATATTATTGGTGATGAAATAATTATTGAATATTTATTAAACATTAAAAAAAATATTAATCTATTATTTACATGTTATGGAAATAATAATATTACACCATTAATGCTTTTCTTTCATTTATATTCAAATAATAAATGTCAGACACTTATTGATAATTATCTATCAAATATTGATGATTTATCAATATTACTTCAATGTGACAAATGGAATCGTTCATATTTAATACATCTATTATGTGGTCAATGTCAACATGAATCTATGGAACATTCATTCGAAAATTTACCTGATGATATTTTAGATATAAATGAAAAACTTATTAATCAATGTCCACATGCTTCAGCTGTTCTTTCAAAATTCTCAATGCTTTATAAATTAGGAAATAAATGTGATACACCAATTAAAATGATTTTAACATCACAATATTGTCTTTCACTTCGAATTATTTTATTTAATTTCTTATTAGAAAATGATCTATCAATTGAACTTAAATTTGATGAATTTTTTCAAAATTTTCCTTCACAATCTATACGAATTTATTCGAAATATATTAAACGATTCGTTCATAATCATAATTTAAATTCTGTTCTTACTTCTGTATTGTTCAATCAAAGAAATAATGATCCATATAATGAACAGACCATTGAGTTTCTTTTAAAACAAGGTGCTCGTATTGATAATATGAATGGTATGAATAATATTATTACTAATCTACTTTTATATAGTCGTTCAATGATTCCATTTATGCTACTTGATTATTCGTTGTATATTGATATACCTTTTCAGACGTGGTCAAATCGAACGAGTCCAAGAATGAATTTATATATATGTCGTATCATTCAATGTGGTTATCCTAGTGAATCTCGAACAAAATTTGAAGAATTTAAGGCTCTTCTAACTGAACAAAGTGTAAAATTAGTAGAAAAATTTATTGATTTGAAAAATCCATTATGTTTATCAAAATTATGTTTACAAAAATTAAGAGGCTCATTAAAACATTTAGGTGATGAAATGATAGATAAATTAAAAGATCATATGCCAAATCGATTAAGACAGTCGATAATATTATTTGGACATGACGAATGTCTAACATATTATGAATCGGTTATGACTAATGTTTAACAATAAAAATAAATACTGCATAAAAATTTTAGAAAAGAAAAAAGATTAATCAAGAAATAAAATTGTTAGGTAAGGATATTTTTAAAATAGTGTATACAAAATGAGGAAATAAGGGTATGAGTATGCAATTAAGACATACCCATACTCTTAAAATCGCCTAGTGACTTTTAGCGAAAGAGATTTATCTATTGTTATCAATTGAAATAAGAAGAATCTTATCTATGAATATCATTCAATAATCGAAACATGTCAAATTCAAATATCAAATGAACTATATTCTAGCTCACTTGATGTCCAATTCTTTTTATAAGTATTCATTCGAAGTTATTTGAAAATATTATTCATTGATGGTTGCAGTAACAGAGCCATCTGAAAAAAAAATAAGCTGATTTATTCCATTGATTTTGCACAAGATCACGATCCTTTCCCTATTGATACAGAGTTTATTGAGCGTGGTAACGCTTGAATTCGATTGCTCTTAATTTTCTTTTTTCTAGAATTCTTTAACTTTTTGTCGAAACTGACGTTCTCTTGTAGAAATGATCGTATTAAATTTCCATGAATTGACAGAAAATCGTGAAAACTGAAGTGATAACATTAATGAAAAATATTTTTTAAAGTTGTTTATTCACTACAGATGTCATTTCACCAAATAAAAATGCATATGTCACTGGACTCTGAAATTTCTTTTAGTTAATTTTTACGTAACAGATCTATATTGAGTTACTCTAGATAGTCTGAAAAGCTTAGCTCTATAGACCTTTGCTCCATTGAATTATTATTGAAAAATAAGTCACAGCGACGTGATACAGAAAAAGGACAAAGCTTTTCTCTGCGCGCATTTTCATTTACAAGAATTGCAATGAGTGCATACGAATGTAGAAAAGAAAAATTTTCCTGTAATTGAATTAGATTTCGAAAAAACAATTCGAAATAATGTAAATCCTTATTAGAAATGTCAAGGTGATTATGTAACAAAAATTCTCGTTGTGAGACATGAGTAAACCGCTGGAAAACAGGTTCTAAGAAGGCGATTTGTTTTTTTTTAAATCCGATCTTGTTGAAAATTTCATCATGAATATAATTTGTGATGTTAAGTCTATTTTGAAACTCTTTAACTTGTACGTCATAAGATTAGAATATTCTTTACTAGTTATATTTTAATAAATTAATTCATGGGGTTTAATTAGATGTGATCTCAAAGAACCAATATTTGAACATATATGCATGAGAAAAGTACTTGTTGAAAAATAATAATTCTTGTAAAAAATCAAAGTTAATTCGAAGTGCAATTCATTAAACTATGCATATTCAAAGTTTATACGAAAAAAAAACAAGAAAAGTAGTCTTGTCCTTATTGTTAACGGATAAAACATGATACCTAATCAAGTCATATCAACAGTTTATTTATTTAATTTCGATTAAAAAGGTAAAATGAGAAACAATAAAGAATATTTTTTTCTTGCCAAGTTTAAGAATATAAATATTATGATGACAAATCCTTTTCGCTATTCATGATTGTTTCACATCGAATAATTATTCATATGCATTCACATGTAAAACAAAAACTGAATAAAAAAATGATGTTCTCAATGATTTAATTCTTACGAAGTGAAACGAAAAAAAAAATTATTTATTTTTGTTCTCATACAAAATCATTTGATAATTTTGATGTTTTCAATTTGAAAGAAATTGTGATTCTATGAACAATAACAAATATAAGTTTATCTGAAAAATAATCAGACTGAAATTATTCCAAAATATGAACACGGTGAAATAATTAATGTGTGAAATGATTTATGTTAATGACATT